GGGCTGCTTAAACTTTGCTCGGGCAGCACTTTAAAAGCCTGCTCCCAGCACCCGAGCAACTTCCCAGCAACTTTCGGCTTCCTTTTAACTCGCGGGTGCTCGCGCCTGGCCCCGAGCCGCATGGCAGAGGGGAAGCCCTGCTTGGAGGAGGCGACCCGGCGGTGCTCCGGCAGCAGCAACAGGCAGTTCCGCCCCAGGCTCCGCTCAGGTGTCCGGCTGGGGCTGTCAGGAGTTGCTACTGCTGGCGCGGCTCCAGTCCCGCGTTGCCTTGGGAAGGAAAAGGCAAAACCAGGAGCCGCTGAGCCTGAGCCTCCGGTGCCGCTGCTCCCATTGCAAAGCACCGCCGCGGCTCTTCCTTTTTGCCTTTCCCTTCCCGAGGCAACGCGGGACTGGAGCCTCATGGAGCCGTGCCGGCGGTAGTAACTGCTGACTCAGGGGGCCTCCGAGGGGAGGGAAAGGAGGAGAAGAGGGGGGAAGGGGGGGCGATTCCCAAAAAATCTTGTGCTGACCCGGCCCGCCTGTCAAATTTTAAAAGTCAATGCGGCCCCCGAGCCAAAAAGTTTGCCCACCCCTGTGCTAGAACAATCAGTTGGAGGCCTCATCCAAAAGCTTTTTGCACAATTACATGGCCAGTTGCAGCTATTTACATGGCATGAAGTTTTGCCTGATAGTTACTCATGCTCATCTGTGGATTATTGCAATTTGTACTGTATAGAGCGGACCGCTCAGAAACTGCAACTAGTACAGTGTGCAAAGGTCATACTGTTATTGGTGTGCATTGGCTGCTAGATAGCTTCTAGGTTCAGTTCAAGGTTCTTTCTTCTTTATAGCCCTTCATGACTTAAGGCATGGGTACTTCTGAGGCTGCCTCCTCTTAAGTGGAATGTTCTTATCTAGTGACATCTGCCATTAGAGGAATGCCATCTTCATTGTTGAGTGTTCTCAAAGGTGTCCCCCACTCAACTGGAATAATCTCCCTGCAACATTCAAACTATTCTCTATTAAGTTGTCAATAACTGAAAAATACAGCTCTTCTGGAGGACATTTGGGGAAAAATGCCTGAAGTGTAAGAAGTTGTTACAGGTATTAGTCATTTTTTTCCCCTAGTTATTACTATTTTTAACTTACTCCTGTATTCAGGATTACATAAGACCCTCAGGGTTTTCAGATTGGAGTGACAAATAGAATAGAGAAGGTTAAAAAAGAAATGCTATTGTGCTCCTTTGGTTTGGGCTTGTTACCTTAATTTTTAGTTGAGAGAATTTACATGTTGAATAAATTAGAGCATTTCTGGAATATAGGCTGCAAAATATGACACAGCTCTGTTCATTTCGCCTGTTTAGGGGAAGCTTTGTGGAAACGTCATGGATTCTGCTTTGCCAATTTATCTGGAAGCCTAAAATGGAAAAAGCTTATCTTTATCTATAAAAGAAGATATTCTATTAACTAAGTAAAATATTCAATTTATAGCAGAGCCCATACTACTTACCCACATTATTTGATCCAATTCCAATAATAATGCCAATTTCTTTAAGAAAAATTATAAGTCAAAGGTTTTGCTATCAATTTTCATATGCCAGTCTTTCCTTAGCCAGATGTCTTCTATACATAATTGTTCTAGTAATCAGTAACTGCAGAATGATTTCTGGGGAAAATGAATTAGAATTATAATTTCTATTCTGCCATGATTATTAAACTTTTCTGAGAGTGTCTGCCTGTTCTAGCAGATTGATAGGATAGGCATGCTCCAGTCCCTTTCCTGAAATGTTCCCATTAAGTGGGACCTCAGAATTGTGCCTTTTTTGTGCGTGGCTGCCTCTACCTTTTGGAATATCCTCCCCCTGGTGATCTGGCAGGCCTCCTCTCTCTTAACCTTCCAGAAGATCATCCAGACTTAGCTTTTTACCCAGGTAAAAGGCAGGGGTACAGAGAAAGTGTTTTGGATTGGCTGTTGGGGCATCTCAAGGGAATATCTGGGATTTTTGTTGTATATTATGGTTTTATTTGTGTATTATGGTTTTTATTGTCACGAGCCATCCAAAGTTGTGTTTTAAGATGGGCAGTCTTACAAATCTTTTAAAGAAATAAAAGTAAATTAGTCATACCATTTAGTAGCTTTAAAGATTACCTGAGAGATGTTTCTTATTCAAAAATGATCTGGGAATATTCCTGCATTGCCTTGCTTTTTTGAAGGAGTGTGTGTGTGGAATAATCCCAGTATGTATCTGTTCCAGTACACTACTTGTATTTCCAATGCTGATAGTCTCTTACAGAAACTGTTAGATGTGTGAACTTGGTGTTCTGTATATTTATATATTCTGTACAACATATACAAGAAATGGCTAGTAGCTTTAAAAATAGCATGTAGAATTTTGTTCTGCATTTATGCATCAATTTTACCCTAGCACTTACTGTAAAAGAGCAAATGAATCTTAATAGTAAGATTTTTTTTTAAACACATTTGGAAACTCATTTTTTTTTTTTTAGAAACACTGGATATCACATGTAATGATGAATTGCCCATTCTCAGAATTTTGCTTGCATTGCCAGATGCTTTCTTAGTGGGAATTAGGGTAGCTCTGGTTCCTGACCAGCTGGGACCATAATTTTCTAAATTCTTTGATGTTTCTAGTTTTACTGAACAGATGTTTCTGTCCTTCATCTGAAGTATTTTAGAATTAGCAACAAAAAAAAAGCATAAAAGTTTCTTTAGAGCTCCTTCCCATAATCTGTGGGTGAGTAGATCTGGGAATAGTCCTTGTGGAAAAAGAGACATCGCAGCTGATTCCAATGTTATAGCAGAAATCAGTATACAGAACAAATAAGCTACACTTCTACTAAGATGACCAAATTGTAATTTGGAGAATAGGGAACTGTGTCTCAGTGCATCAATAATGTACAAAATGAGAGTGCTCATTTGCTGCTCCTTTTTCTTTAGTTTTATAACCAGTCTTTTGTAACAAGTAGAACTCTGATGCTTTATCCACTGAAAACACCATCAAAAGCCAAGAAAGAAATGGCAGAAGGAACATTTGACTTTTGAAAACTCAACCATATTTAGGGTCCAGACCTGGAACCTTATTTGTGAAAAATATTGTTCTTTATTAATTCATGGAACAGTATATTGTGGTGGCCTTAATACGTTAATGTGTTTTTGCAGAATACAAAATGGGTATTGTAAAACTAGTATATCAGATACTTACTATTAGTAGGAGGTAAAATAAGGTAGCATACTTCGGCAGGAATGCATAATGTGAAAAGATAGCTGAACTTAAATTCCCAACTTTGGTTACTTGTATGCCTCAGCCTTGATTGTTTTTTCAGATTTCACCATCCCAATATTTTTTTTATATTTCTTGAGGTACATAGCAGGAGTTATTACAGCTGGAAGAGGGAACATGTTTTGCTGACCACGATAGGAAAGTAAAACACAAGAGCTACCCTGTTTTGATGGTTTGCATATTTGTTTTGAAGACAACCCTACTATCAAGCTGACAAGAACTGGAAATCTTTTTCCAAGTTTGCATTATTTCAGTTAAACTAAACATCACCTTCAAATAAGTCCAAAACTCAAGAGTGTCTTAAGAGAGTTTGAATCTATAGCCTATGCTATAAATTCTATGAAAGATTGGATCCTTCCCACAGCATTGGGAAACATGTTCTGTTAAAATCCCAGCTATAAACATTTTGACCATGTTGTGCCTAATGCACTGAAGTTGCTGCTTCAAAATATTGCAGTGCTCATTTTAGACGTATAACTTTCATAACACACTATTAGTTAGTCGACAGCTATATAAACAGATCAGGGAAGGGATAGATCAGCTTTTGCAGCAATGCTGTTGTTCTCTCTTGGGATTTTATTTTGTAAGGTGCCAAGAAATTCAGAATTCCATACTGGAGTCACCAGACAGAGTTTTCTCAGAACTATGAGAAAAGAATCTCATCTCTGGAGGTCAACAAAGGGCTTTTGTGGAGGAAATACCAAATGTTTCATTGACAGACATATGTTCTCCCAGCCCAGGGAATGAAGCAATTGCGTAGGTCACAGACTTTTTGGAAAATGTTGTGTCCTTAGTAAACATAGCTAGCTTTGCTTTTTGTTTGTACATTTACTTGAAGTACTTTAAGAAAAACACTTGTACATGATTAAAGCTTGGAACATCAGATATTTTTAATTCTAAAGTGAACATCCTCTGCTCTGACTTTTGAAGAGAGAGAGAAATTGGTATTTTGTAATGTAGTGAGAAATCAGAATTGATTTGACTCTTAATTTCTGAACTAGATTGAGTGGTGATGGTGGTAATAGTGGATTTTTTTTATCAAAGTATATATAATATACTTTTTATAATATATATACAAAGTATATATAGTATGACATAATGACAATATTGTTCACATGAATTTTCTAGAGTAGGGATGCAAAACATATGGACCTCCAGATTTTCTTAACCTATAATTCCTAGCAATCCTAAGAACCTAGTTAATGTTGAGAAATGCTCCCACAAATCTGAAGGCTATTAGGTTTTGGAACACTGGGGAAAACACAGTGATTTCCAAAACCAAAAACTTGATCAAATTGAAGGAAGCAAAATCTATAGGAATAGTTTCATGGTCAACAGTCATGTTATTTGGAATTTCTGGGTGCTATAATTCCAACCAGAGCAAAGGATATTATTTGAATTGTTTATATTTTTCTGTGTTCTGACTGAACATCTATAGTTTTAAACCCAAGTTGTTTGACTTGAAATTGCACTGGAAAAGAGATAAAGGCAGGAATTAAAATTTTGGATGTCTTAATCATAGCGCCATTATTAATTTCTGAAAACCTATTTCCATGTAATTTAGATTTCACTGAATCAAAAGTAAGACCAACCTTTTGGCATACTCTCATGTTGGAAACTATGGTTAGATTATGATTTTGGTCATCAATTCTTCATTGAGTAGAGTTCTTTTTAATTTAATTCATTACACTTCTGTGACTTTCTCTTGCTTTCCTTTAGGCTCATTGTGCTCCCTGACCATTGACAAGGCCTTTCCTGAGGATGAGGGCCAGTACAAATGCATAGCTGAGAATACTGCAGGAAAATCAGAATGCATTTGCAGCGTCTTAGTGCAAGGTAAGTAAGTTGACCCTAGACTCAGAACTGTTCTTAAGAGGCCTTAGGTAGTACTATTCCGATTCTGTTTATGTCAAAATTCCAATTCCTTCCTGTCTGATTCCCATTCCTAAAACTATGCAAAAAGGGGGAGGGGGTTTCTTTTTAGTTTCTCCCTGGTCCATATGCCTTTCATAGTAAACTGGCTCTTGAATGGGACATTAAACCAGACTATCATGTGTCTGTATTGTGCCTCAGTTAAAGGCCCTCCATGCTGCCAAAATTTTGCCAAATATGAATTTACTTCAGTATTCAGTATTATTACGGTAATACAATTACGGAATACTGTTTCTGTGTCAAAGGAACATCTATATTTGAACCATTTTAACCAAATGATGAGTTACTGCACACAAGATAAGATTTAATATTAACAAACTAATAGCACAGGTGATGTGAAGAACGAACAAGTCTAATGTTTCTTGTTTTAGTGCTTTGTTGTTGAATTGGAACTGTGATAGAAATTTATCAACCAAGAAAATAATGAATAGAGCTTGTGCTTTTGTTGTTCTGGGCGCGACTGTTTCTTTGCTAGTTTTCATCCACCACTCCTAATGCAAGCAGACAAAACCAACTCAAGCTTAAATCAAAGCACATGTAACTTTTGTGGCAGTGTAGATTATCCCTAAGACTTTTTATTTAGTCAGTATATTAATTTTATTTTACTTAAATCCAGCCTTTTTCCCAGTTCACTTAGGGAAGTTTATATTATTGTGTTCCATAAAGTAATTTGGAGATGACCCTGCGGAAGGAATTCATATAAACCTCAACTTAGCCCAGATAAGCAAAAGGAGGTGGGGAAGGAAAGCACTTAAGATTGCCTTGCCTTGATTCCCTTTAATATACGTGGGAAGAGGGACAATCTATGTCAGTTTTCAAGGTTCTTTTATTATAACCTAAAACAATAAGAGTTTCAGTAGTTCATGTGGTGTCTGTTTCCTGACCTGATCTAGCTCAAAATTTTCACTCATCTTCTCTTTTGGGGTTTATTAGACTGACTGTGTTTGGTGGTGGCTACTCTGTCAATTACAAAACTAATATTTGGACTCTTGATTCATCACACTAGGATATTGTTTGTTTCAAATAGGACAGTTTAGTGGGATTCAGATATCATACGCTGCTTATAAAGTAAAAGATACAACAAATTAATGTAAAACCAAGTAAATCCCAATATGAAATCATGCTCCAAATTTGTTCTTAGCAACTAATTTTTTCCAAATCTGATTGTTCCATATAATCATCATCATAATTAATGGTAGGCATTTCATTAATTAGTTATCTAATTAGTTTTTAAACCCCTTATCACATCCAATGGCACTGTACTTTGTAGATTAATTACACATTTTAGATTTCCTCTTATCTGTTCCGAATTCATTGACAGTATAATTGGATGTTTTAGTTTTGGACTGTTGGAAGAAGAAAAACATTACACAAGTACAAGTACTCCTCATTTAGCATCCACAATTGGAACTAGCAACTTGGTCATTAAGTGAAGTAGTTGGTAAGTGAAATTGCAACTGCATTGAAACCCGAGTTCAGCTTTCATTTGCTTTACAGACCTGTGAAGGTTGTAAATGCAATGATTGATCAAGTTACTGTTTCATCTTGGTCATATCTGCAAACTGTCATTATACAAAGCAGTTGCTAAACGAAGACTATCTGTAGATTTTTGCTCCTATAGTGGGATACTAGCTGCAACCCTTATAGGCTTCCTAAACCTACTCTGAATAAATTTTTGATTCTCCCTATGGATTACAGGTTTCTGAAGTGCCTTAGGGGTAAGTGGGGAAATTGTTGTGTCAGCAGAGATCATTCTGTGTGTAGAACAATACCACTGAAGTCACCAAGGTCCTCTAGCTATACATTCTTCAGACATGCTGACTAATTTGCGATAAATTGAATAGATGAAATCAGGGGAAAATCCCTGATTTTTTTAAAAATCGGTTGTTCCGTTCATCACAATTGCTTTATTTCAGGTCGTGGCCATTCCATCTTCCTCACTATTGGACAATGAACAGCCACGTGCTAAATTCCAAAGATATTGATAGAACGTCTGTTCTCAATATCTAGTTATTAGCCACAGATATATTGGTTGTCCCCATTGTTCCTTCCTTAGTTTCCCCAATTCATCTTTCTTTCTTTCTGTTCACATGTAACTCTTAAGCCATTTGAAGATAATTTAAAATCTTGGCAGAGGGCATTGGATAAAAGCCTAGCTTTTGCAGGATATGTTGCAAGATCTTCAGTGTCTTTTTAAGGTTATGTTGCATCATTAGAACAAATTAGCTCTTGCAGTTTAAATGCAAATTTATTTTGAACATCGCCCACCTTTACTCACGATGAAATTAGAACAGTAGTGTTACATGGGTGCACGGATTGAAGAGGCAGGACACAGCAGGAACAGGTAACAGCTTTATTTGTATAGTTTAAGTAATAGTTGCCCAGCCGCGGCTAGCGCCGGCTTATATCGCCAGCACTGTCCAAAGTTTCAGCCACTGACGGGACTTCATTTCTCCCGCCAGTGGCCGGTCCAATGAGCGGAGTCTGACATCAGACCCCCCACTCTTGTGACCGTATAAGGAAATACTTAACAAGTACCATAGCACTTCACTCTTCATTTTCATTATTTTATTATAAGGTGATTAGGTAGTCATTTACCATACAAAGAAGCAAAGATTCATATTTATAGATTACTACTACAGCCAGTATAATGAAGTGCTGCTAATAGTAGGAGGTGTTTTTTTTTTGCTACCCTAGTACATTGTGCCAAATTCAATCCTGCCATAATATTTGAAATAGAAACTTGAGAAGTTAACAGTAACTCATACCCAGAATAATCACCATTTTTGTTTAAATTTAGACTACAAATATCAGTATTTTGTTCCTGATTTTGTTTGTAAAGTTGTACTGTAAATAAAGGCAGCTATTGTTTTGCAAAGAGACACCACATTTTGAAATTACAAGTATCAGACATAGTGTTTCCAGTCAGCACTTACCAGACCTAGATCAGTTCATGTTCATCAAAATTATTATAGCATGTGCCCTTACTAGTAACTTGCTTGACCAGACCTAGATTAGTCATTTCCATCCAGTAGAATGTTGTGTCGTGTTTTTGCTTTGCTTTGCTTTGTTTTGTTTTAAATGTTTTAAACTGATTTTATTTGCCACAGGTAAGTACACCAGTGACTATTATGAGAAATCAAAGATGCAATATTACCTCAAAAGGCAAAAGACATAGTGGATACCAAAATAATTTTGTTTTCCTTGAATACAGTATATCTTCCAATAGTATATGTACAAACTCTGTTGGTTTCACTATTGCTTTTGGTTAAATACGTTTTTACAATGGTACAGAGATACAAACATCTGTTTTTGGGTAGAACATACACAATGTGTATCTTCATGCAAATAGTCTTAATTTTCCTGAAGTTTTTAGCATAAAACCCTAATTTCAGCTTATGTGGCTCTATTCAAAAACTGAAACTTGATCAGTTCTTTCAGCATTAGCCCAATAGACTTTTTTTCCTAACTTCCTTCATTTTAGTCCTCTTCAGCAGATTCCTATGTTTTCATAGCAAACAACCTTCCACATGGGACATAACCCAAATAACCTGCATGCACACTTTGAGTAAAGTAATAAGATGGATGTTTAAAATTTAGAGATTTAAAGAGTTCTAATCGTAACATTTCCTGGGGAGCAAAGAAAACTATTTTCATTCTGTTCTTCAAAATGTAGCTTGTCCAAGTCCTCTTTGTTAAATATCACAACAGCCAACAAGCTCCATTTGCTTTCTAGCCCAATCAGAATCAAGTGAAACACAAACCAGAATTCTTTTTTCATTTCAATTATTGCTCTTTAAGTCAAAATGGAGATTTGATTCTTAATTATTCTAACCTCCCCCTGCAATCTGTTTCCAATCTTAGAGTCTTTAAAGTCAACGGAAACGAAGACCAAAAAGCCAAAGACTTCACTGGGTTCTGTGCATGGAACAGAAAGTATGTATCTTCTTTTTTCTTCATTTTTTGTGAAATTATGTAGGTGCTTTGAAGTTGTTTTCTGTAATAATTTCACCATCTAAGTAGGTGGTTTGACCCAGTATCAATTTTTCTGTATTGAACTTGGAAACCTGATAAAAATACTGGAGTTACTCAGATATAGCTCAGATACTGTGATGAATGAATTCCATGTCCATCCCTTTATTTTTATTTCTTCCATTACCTCTCTCCCTTCTGTGAAACATCCAGAGATAAGCCATAGGTGTAACCCATCCAAAGGGTCCTTTCCATTAAAAAAAAAAAGACACCTTCCAATTATAGCAAATAACTTTCACAGGTTCCCCTTGCAGCCTCATAACCACCCCAATCCTACTTTTACCTTTAATCTTAATCTTACCTTAATCTTAATCCTGGGCAACCTTTTGACAATTTGAGCTTCTCTTCTGTTTTGAGGAAGGTATCCGTGATATCCTGACATTGTACCAGTGGGCAAGGAGAGATTATGTGATCGATTATTTTAGAGAGGCAGAGAGGATAACTAGTGTGTATTTTGTTGTTGTTGTTGGTATATAAATCCAATCTGAAGCTCATATACTCAGCCTCCCATCCTTCCGAGGTCGGTAAAATAAGGACCCAGATAGTTGAGGGGCAATATGCTGACTCTGTAAACTGCTTAGAGTGGACTGTAAAGCACTAAGAAACGGTGTGTGTGTGTGTGTGTGTGTGTGTGTGTGTGTGTGTGTATTATTCAAAGTAACAGATTAATCAGGGTCCTGTAATTTGGCAGTTTATGGCTAATTTTAGCAGTTTGAACCTTGTGTGCTCAGAAATCCATGACAAGAGAATGTTGGGGGCTGTATGATGAATGAACATGTGATATATTACCTGATATTTTTTAGATGCTTAAGGGATAAAGTGCAAGGAAAAAATTAATGAAATTGCTTTTTATCTTCTGCCGATGTAATTATTGTACATATAGCCACTAGTTCTTGGATAGCCTTGCTTTTCTGAATAACTTCAGTGCCTGTCAATTTCTTGTGACTTTCATTGATGACATTGACTAGCTGTGATAGTTATGATGCAAACAAGCTTTGACCTACATATGTTTTGGAGGACAATCCAATGTAATTATGAACCATTGCACATAAATGTTCCACCATAATATAAGCAGGGGTTTACAAATAAACTTCTGTGATGGCTTTTTCCCTCTTTCCAATTTGCAATTATGTTACAGGCTGATTATTTTTCTCCCTTACAAAAATGTAAATGCTTGCTTGGGGTTTGGGAGTTGGCTGAGGAAAACCAAACTTCTGATTTGCTGAATAAGTATCTAGCTTTATTCCTAAATTAATATTGAGAAAAGACCGTAAGGAGGGGAATTTAGTACTGGCATAAAATTGTTAATCAGGAGTTTCACAGGTATTGTGATCCCTATAGTAAGGCATTGATCCTTCCCTTTAAAAAAAGAGGGGGGAGGGAGGGAGAGAGAGACAGAGATTAGGCAAGTTTCTCGGCTTCTCACAGCTAAGCCACTGTAACATTAAGCCACCTAACTTCATTATACCTGTACTCAGTAGGAATCATAGGATGGAAGGGACCTTCACTGTCTTTTGTCCAATGCCCTTCCCTGATGCCCAAAGCAGGGGGCCTTATACCATCTCAGACAAATGATTATCCAATCTTTCCTTGAAAACCTCCAGCAATGGAACACCTACAACTCTAGGAGGCAAGCTATTCTACTACTTAATAAACTATCCCAGACAAATTATTGTTCAGTCTTATCGTGAAAACATCCAGCAGTGGAGCGCACACAACTATGGGAGGCAAGCTGTTTCATTGATTAATTATTTTCACAGTCAGGAAATTCCTTCTTATTTCCAGGCTAGATCTCCCTCTGCAAAGTCCAGGACAAAACCTTGATTAACCCCATTGCATACTTCACTCCACATAGTTCCACTGAGGACCACATGCTGAGCGTGGTTAGACAGCCAACTACAAATCCATCTGGAAGTGGTACCATCTATCCCACATTATTTTATCTTACCAAGCAGGCTCTGGTCTGCTTTATCAAATGTCTTACTGAAACCTAATAAGTATATTACATTCACAACATTTCCTTGGTCCAATAATTTAATCACTTTATTAAAAAAGGCAATAAGATTTGTTTGGCATGACCTGTTTTTAATAAATCCACGCTGGCTTCTAAGAATAACTCTGTATTTTTAGGTGCTCATAAATCCGCTTCTTGAATATCTTTTCCAGATGCAAAAGACAGATGGAAGGAAGGAATTAAGCAGTTCTGCCTTCTCCCTGCTGCCCATCTCCTTCTTGCCATTGTTTCTCACTAGGTGGACTAACCATTTACTTGTAGTTAGTGTCTTATGTTGTCCTTATAGCAGGTTTTGTTTTGGAAGGAGAAAGAAAAACATTTTTTTTCACACCAGAGCAACTAAAGAGGAAATATTTATGTAGAAGGCTAGGGAGGAGACAGTGGACATCATGACAACTTGTCCTTTAAATATGCTTATTGTCGCATCTTTCAGCCTTAGTAAGCAGAATGAGCTCATAGTCATGAGTGTACAACATGCTAGTTACTGACTTGTAGGTTACTATTCCAAATAAATGCAGATATGTTATACAGAAAATATAAGATACAGCCATTAATCTAGTACTTTGATCAGCTTCTCACAGATAATTTTGATTAAAGTTAATTTAAATTTGACTTATTTGATTAGGGAAGGTGCAATAGCTACTTTTAGAAAAGACTGGAAGCTCTTTGTGGATTTTTTTCTGAAAATGAACAAAAATGAACTGGTGATCTCTGGATTTACTGATTAAAAAGGGCTGTATGCACTCACATTAAGTATTATTAAATGTTATTCTTCAGTTTGGTATGAGTGGAGATTTTTATTCTGATGATAATATTTATGCTATTTTGCTAATAATATTCTTCAAGATATGTCTTCTAGAGTTTATATAAATATAAAACCTCATTTTCCAGTCTACTTTCTCAGTAAATTTTTTAATGCATTTCAGGTTGTTATATGAAATATTCCTTACAATGTTTAGGCAAAAGCCTGATGAAATCAGTTCACTCACACATACTATTCAGTAGTGGTGCTAAGTCAGAATTTATTTTTTTTGTTTTTTCTGCTTTCAAAAGAATTTTCTGAAATTGTTGTTTCCTTTATAAAATCCTGGACATTATTAGGAATGAGCAAAAATGAAAGGACTGATTCTGTCTCCAAATACTTTAGGGAAAGTTCGTCTTTCACGTTTTATGGAAAAATCAGCATGTTGTCCTTATTGATTTATGTTCCCCCTTTTCCAATGATTCTCCTGAAAAAGAGTATTACAATATGTCTATGGAGATTCTCAGTTATCCAGGTCATGGTTGTCCCAAATATGCCTTTTTTTCAAGAGGCAACTGGCATTTCTGGTTTTTCTTTTCACTTCTCATCCAAGAAGCTTCTTCAGTTCTGACTGGATGGTGGGGAGCCAGAGCTGAAGAAGCTTCTTGGATGAGAAGCAAAATGTCTTCAAAGAAAAACCAGAAAGTCCAGTTGCCTCTTGAAAAAAGCATCTTTGGGAGTATTGCAATACTCCAAAAGCATGGACACGACAATGACGATTAGAATCTAGAATGAAAATTAGTGTGGAAAGAAAATGCATCTTTTAATAGAGATACTTGATTATTTTTGACCATTTCTTTTTGAAAATCGGTTCTGTTCCATTCAAGGATTTTCCTGCTACCCTTAACTTTTGCAAATTATTTGCAAAGGTCATTTTTTTAAAATATAAAACAAGTTGTTGGGGTTTTTTTTACATACTTTTCAAACATTGCTAGCCACTTATTTAATTCTTTATAGGTTTTTTTGTGTGTGTTTCCTGAACAAGTTATTTTAACTCAGTGTTAAAATTGCTAACATGTAGACTTTTTTCTTTAGACTTCTAAGGGACCCTAGAAAACATTAGGGATGTTACCCAGGTTGTCGATTCCAGCTACCCCCCACCCCACCGTTCCACAGAATAGATGCTGCTATGATTTTTAACTTATGGAAAGCAGCAGGACTCCCTTTATTACTGATATAGCTCACAAATCCACCAAGATAGCTTTAAAAAACCATTTATCTATGAACCATACTAACCAAAGGAATAACTTGGTACCTTTAAAAAGGTTTATCCAATAATGGAATGTAGCCAGAATAATTCTCTTTTTTGCAACATTGTTGATCAGGAGTCTTTTATTTCTGTTATCCTCTAACTCTGCTTATTAACTGCCTCAGTCTCATTACTTTGTTGCCCATTAATTTGTCTATTTATGTCTGTTCTATTATACTTCCACTCATCTTTTGCTAAAATAGCATTTCATAAATCCACAAATGCTAAGTTCCATAGAAAATGTGTCCCTTCTGTGCTGAGTGAAAAATTCAGCTGCTTCAGAGTTTATGGTGCAGTTCTCTTTCTGTATTTCTTCCAGCATCTTTAAAAAAAACACACACACAATGTTTTTGTGGTATCCGAATCCCTGAGGAAATAGATCCTCATGCCTGCTATTGCATACAATCTGTCTTGATTTTTAGGCCAAACAAATGTGTTCCTTGATTGTTCTACTTTTCTGGAGAAAGAGGTTAATAAATATCATTCCTGATACAGTATGTTGACTTCACTTCATCAAAAAAGAAGAAGATGGAACCTTGCGCAGTGTCTGGATTTCTAAATTAGAGTTAACCTCTAAGAAAATTATATTATGGCATAGCATTCTATTCAAAATATCAAATGGAACAATATCAGGTTTTTGAGGACTTACTGCTTGGCATAACACTAATTCACCTTGCATTTAGAAATAAACCTATCCCCATCCCCATCCAAGTGCTTGTGTGTTTGTTTTTGAATGTACTCATTCCCCAGAACTTAATAATCTCCAATTTATGAAGAATGGGAGGTTTTGTGCCCAACTAAAATCCTAGCATTTGGACTAGAATATTACAGCTTTAATT